ACGAATAACAAGCACCATATAAAAAACATGAACATTCATTGATTTATAACAATGATGATATTAATAATTGCCACATAGTTTGATGTGTTATTCTTAATATGAAATGCACTACTACAACTCATATATAGGATGAACAGGAGTATATAGGTATATTTTTCGTGTCACATCTGAATTGACAATAAAGACTACACCTTTTGCACGCACACTAGGAGAGATGGTGGGTAAACATTTCTCTTGCCTATGACATCAGATTCTAAAAAGTCGGGTCGCTTCGTAAGGCGCACCACCGAAGCCGTGAAGCTTTCATCACCTTGGTTACTTGACAAACACGTTGCGGGCTTGATCGATTTCGATGAGGGAATTTCTCTGAGTCAAGACGACGCAACTCAGGGTGCTGGTGAGCGCCGACTTGAATTCCAGTTCGAGCCTCACGCTTCCCGATTTCACCAAGTTCAGGTACTCCGACTCGGCGCACATTGTGTCGATGTCAAAGACGAACAAGGCGCTCCCCAGGAGAAATTCGCTTCTGGTGATGGCATTGCCCTTGTCTTCCTTCCACAGTCCCATGCCGTCGAGCATGTTGACGTAAGAGGCGACATCGTCTGCTTCGGCGGGTTGACCGGGCACGCTGACTCCGTCGATGTACAGCGTTATCTTTTTAAGCATGGACGACTTGAAATTATAAGGATTGCCAGTGTAGCTGCCGTTCAGACTCGAACTTTCCACCAGTCCCACGACGTATCGGTTGGCGACGGGATTGCTGACGTTGTCTATGGTGTGCGTCTGCTGAGTGGTCGGGATGCTGGTCACCTTGACTTCGCTTTTGGTGTACGGGTAGAGAGCGTTGGATTTTTGGAAAAGCGAGTTGTGAGCCAAGATCAAGGCGGGGTTGACTTTGACCTTGCACACCTGCAGATAAGCGTCCAAGAGTTGAATTTTGAATTCGTGCTGAGTCACGTCACTCATCAAACAAAATTTGGGTTCCGATCTGAACATTTTCAAAGTCAGGTCCACGTCGTTGGGGAGAAGACGGTTCAGGTCGAAGATGTCCTCGTACACGGGCCCCGACATGGTGAGTTCTTTGCTTTGCGCTATGAAAGTGCCAAGTAATGACATTCCTGAATTGACAGATCCGGTGACGTTACTGCTTTCCAGATCCGCGTCCCCCCTGGGCAACATCCTTGGCGAACAGCTGCGTCCCCAACTGAGTGTTTTTCGCTTCCGCACCATATCCCAGCAGGACCCTCATCATGCTCTTGTAGGCGTAATGGTTGTTGGTACTGGACACGAGCTGGTTCTGCAGGTAGACCGCAACCTGGGAGAACAGCGACTGCATAAACAAGTTCACCGGAGCGACATTTTCGTCCTCGGCCAAGGCCGTGCCATCGGTCTGCGTTACTTTGACTTTGACGTGCAAACGGGTGCGTTTCAGATCGGTGTAGTCGGGGCCCGAGTTGTTAACTTGAAACTCCAACGGGGCAGCATCGTTGATTTGGCTTAAAGGTCGCACGTTCACGAAATAATGTTTCTGTATGCTAGTTTGATAAGGAGGTAGCGTGAACAGATTGAGAGACTCCGTGACCAACTCGTCGAATTCTTTATCATTGATTAGTGACATGTTCCTTTAACTGAAGATATCGTTTTCTCGCACGGGAGTACACTGGAGCGCTTTGGACGTCTTGGAGGGTGCAGCGTTGTTGCCGGTTGGTCGAATCTTCTTCGTTGTGACGCACCTTTTGCCTGCCCTGCGTTTTAAAGCCTTTTGTCTTTTGTCTTTGGCTCCCGCTCTCTCTACCTCGCTTTGCGATTCTGACGTCATTTGCAATGTGACCTTGGTTGGGTCTCGTTGTTGTTGTTGTTGTTGTTGTTTTCCTGCTTGACGAGCCGGGATCACCAGCTTTTTTGCTTTCCCGTGGAGCAGATGAGATGTTTTCCTCACGTGTTTGTTATCGAAATAATGTTTAAACTTGGCGTAGTCTGGGAAATACAGCGGACGTGAATCCATGGTTTCTTTACTCCACAAAAGGATAGCGTCTTAAATGAAGTGTAGCGTAGGTCTCTTCCGTTAAGAATGAAGCTGTAGATGCATTTTCTGACTTTAAATACAATTCGATATTGTCTGTTTCTTTCAGTTTGACACGAATGTTAAATTCAGTACCAAACGTGTAGGTAGGTCCCTGTCTCAAGTTGATGCGTCTCAATAAGGCCAGTTGAGTTTCCCCCGCCAAAGAACTGTCACACAGATTACACGTTACGTCTACGTACGGATTCGTGACTTTAGACAGATCAACCATTCCAAAGTTCAACTCTGTTAAGGATACCACCCAGAATCCGTCGAAGACTAACCGTTGATTTAATTTGACGCGAAAATGATGGGGTGTATTATCCGGAAAGGATGTCGTTTTGGAGTCAGAGCTTTTGAGAAACACGTACTTCTCCATATTTATTACACTTCTTTCAATTCGCTTTCTTCCACGTACGAGTCGAATGACTTAGGCCAGCCGACCCATCGCACCAGAGCGTACGTCTTCCCCTTCACCTTTTTCCGTTTAAGCACTTTTTCGACTTGCCAGAGGGCGTCTGCCGCTTTGTTGACCTTCTTTAGCTCGCTCGCGTAAAAGGAGCCTATCACGGGTTCGTCGTGAAAATCTTTCAGTTTGTACTGGGGAAACGTTTGTTTCTTGTAACGTCGAGCCACTTTAAAAAGTTCCTCCGTCCATTTGAGGTCGAGTACCGTGCTGAAGGGTTTCCTGAGGTATGAGATGCGAACCAGATCGCCTACTTTAAATACGTATTTCTTGATTTTAGGTTTGCTGACTTTTCTCAAGGGATTCAGATAGACGTGGTCCCATACTTTCACTTCGTTTTCTCTGTTCACTCGTGCAGGGGACAGTCGAGGTAAAGAAGAATGCAGAGTATGGTTATAGTTGTAGACCAGTTTTGAAAGAATGTCAACGTAATGTTTGGTGTTTTTGTGCGTCATGTAACGGGTAATCAGGGATTTCAACGTTCTGTTAAAGCGTTCCACGTAATTACTTTTGATGTTTTCATTGCGAGCTATGGTAAGTTTAATGTTTTGTTTTTTTAAAAACTCCTTAAATACACCTTTGAATTCACTCCCCGCATCCACTCTGATTTTTTTAGGTTTTCTTTCTTTGAGTATTTCTTTGAAAGCCTTCAACACCGTCTCGGGTCTCTTATTTTCCAAAGGTAGAACGAAAGCAAATCGTGAAAGAATGTCCACAGCTACCAACAAATACCTCACTCCCTCGTTCCATTTGGTATACCTCGACATATCGGCTAAATCCACATCAAACATTTCATCGATAGAGTTGACTCTGACTTTCATCCTTTTGAAACGATATCTTCCGGGTCTATGTAAGCTGTAAGAATCTTGATCATTGACAAACTTTTTCACACGGCGTAGTGACACTTTTGATTCACCCTTATCTCGTAACACACTACGAAGTTTTGAGGGTCCATAATAGGCTCCCGGTTTCTGGGGGTCGAAATAATAATCTTCCAGTGCTTTGTCGGAAGCCGCATTCTTACTCGTTGGATAACTCATGATTGAATGAGTGAAGCATAAGATGAGATATCATGATATAATGAAAACATAACAAAATAAATAAATAAATAATATGTTTTTATTCTTCTCTTGCTAGGTCATGAACAAGCAAACAACAGTACCAAACAATCTCAGTCGGATGATGTCACAATAGGAATGTCAGATTGTCAGAGAGGTGAATGAACTCGCAGTATATCTTGTAGGAAGATTTTTCACATTCTTTATCGAACTTTAACATTTTCTTGACACGCTCTTTCAATCCATCAATCCATTTAGGTGTCTTAAATCGAGAGTCACGATATTCTTTACATTGATACGGGACTAAGTTGAAGTCCTTAACGTCTTGCAAAGTAGAATCATCTGCCATCAATTTTCTCCAGTTTTCGTACACCTGTCCATCGTCTATCTCAGACAATGCCATGTGAAAGTATTTCTCCACCAGGTTTTGTTCAGACATATCACAAGTATGTACTCGTTCACCTTCTGTATCAAACATACACCCAAAACACAATTCACGAGACAATCGTCTGATAATGTTAGTGACTTGAAGACAATAGCAGAGAGTCAATAAGTTTTCTATGAATTTCATCTTCTCCGCCATAGCGACTTCATCTGCCGAGAGTGTCCAGTGAGATTTTGTAGTAATGACTCGCTTAGTGACATTGAAATCATCTTGCAACTTTCGCTTGGCATCATTCAAGCATTCATCACGATTTGGACACCTGTCGTAGGATTGTAGAATGACTGGTTCGTTCAGAGTGTGCTGCATTTTCATGACTTTCTTCCGGGAGTAAAGAGTAGATTTTTGTCTTTTTCTTCCTTCTCTGTTAAAAAAAGAGAGTATGATGAGGTTGAGATATTGACAATACCATGTTTTAGCTTAGCAGCATTGCATTAAGGTATACTTGGTTCGCTGAATGTCTTGCAAGCATCAATTTGTTCAAGAGTATATATTTTATCATAATCAATGTCTATTATACTGATAAAAAAAATACTACATTAAACTAAAATTGATTGAACTGGGAATACTAAATTCGCAAACCTTGCTGACATGGTACAACACAACTTCTGTCTCTGAGGGCAGCCGATGAAATGAGTGATAAAAGCGCATTTTTTGTGTGTGCATGTTACTGATTTTGGTACTTGAAATCCATTGGTCGATAGGTTTTATGTGGATCACGTGTTCTTTAAAAAAAAAAAATGATTATACGTGTGAGTGTAATTGTTTACCTAATTATTTGAATTCATCGGTTGATGGCTAGGTGCATGTGTGTGTGTGTGTGTGTGTGTGTGTGTGTGTGTGTGTGTGTGTGTGTGTGTGTGTGTGTGTGTGAGTGTAATATGATCTATTGGTTGAATTCTCATGAAGACTATACGAGCATTCTGCATCATACTTTTCGTGATAGGTTCAACAAAGAAAGACATACACAAATGAACACGAAATAGATTTTATTTTTTAAGATTATGTCATGAACCAAGTTCCTCGATTGTTATCAGGATGACGTGTGTATGTACAAAACACTACTATTTCTTTTATAAGCGTAGTCACTGTCTTCGAGAGGATTGGGTCAATCGGAGTCATGTCTCTTGTTGACGATATATAATATAAACACAATCGATCAGAGTCATGTCTCTTGTTGACGATATATAATATAAACACAATTCATTATATATTGTCACATTTTCTAAAAAAGGTCTCACATTTTCTCTCTCAGCTTCTCTTCTACTCGTCCTTTTCTACTCGACGTAAAGAAATTAGTGTTTATGTAATGCAGATTTTCATAGCATTCTGTGTTAAGGAGTGAAAATGCCAGTCTGGATGATAATGATGATGATGATGATGAAGTCATTCGCTCTCTTGCCTTTTCGATGATGAGTCTGTGAGGCATTGTTAACAATGCATCATCAAAATACCTATCAATCCGCTCATCACCATCCATCATCAGACACGCATGATGAACTTGAGACGGATGATCAATTTCACATCCATAACAGTTTTTATTACACAATTCATTCACTTTGCCCTGAAGTTCATCCACATAAACAGATTCCATTGCGGATTCAAACGCTGAACGAATATGTGTCAGACTTCTTATTTCACGTGCTCGTCTTGGCATAACGACCTCATGGCTGGTCACGGAGAATGGTCCCCGGTGATGCGTGCTCTCTGCTGCTCCATTCAGCTGACGTCTCAGCGTTCTCTCCAGACATCGTGCTCCTGCAACACAAGCTGCAAGATGACTTCGCTGTAGAATTCTCCCTTCCTTCAGCACTTCTCCACGGTTTCCAGTTACCTTGTAGCGGTATTGTCTCGTAGGATTTCCGCTCATTCTGTTTCAATTAAAAAAAGTGGGAAAGTGTATGAGTTATTTAATGATTTATGTGCACTTACCTATACTTTAATTTTTCTGTCATATACATTTTAGTTTTCTGTCATATACATTTCTGTTTCTATCATATTGACTTATTACGATGATGTGAAACATACATAATTAAAAGGAAACAAATGAACAATGAATTACCTTTTGGTTTTTCACACTTTCAGGAACACCAGAAGGTTTCTTGTGTTCTTGTTTGCTAGACACTTAGTGAACCAATGAGGGGGGAGTTTCAGAATTTTTCCTTAGCAAGGAGCAAGTTACAAACTTCTAAATAGGATTAAATCCATAGGGTCGAGATTCGATGCCATCTGCCAAAATGTATCGCTTGTCATCTTGTGGCGTCAATGCCACTTTGGTCACTTTTTCTGTGTAGAGGGTGTTGTGAATGGATCGAATCTGATGATATGTGGCCATATTTTGTTCGTGTTTGAAAAGACAGTCTTTGTACATTTGATGCCGAAGATGTTTTTTGACGAAGGCTTTTTGCACCCCTTTGGCAGTGCGTTTCTCGGCTCGTTCACTGGGAGTTTTGTCAAAAATAAAACTATAGTTTTTTGGTCGAAGTCCGACAAACTCTCTGATGCTTTTACCACCCACTTCATCTTTCATCAGACCGATGACTTTGTGTCTTTCCATGGAATGAAGTGGATGGTCTTTGGGATAGTTAGAGGTATCGAACAGGTGAAGGTTAGCCGACATAAAGTCTTGAGGATCTCGGAGAGGAGTACCTACAGGTGACCAGATTTGATAAAACAAACTATCTGTGTCCGTCATCAGGACTCTGACATGGTCGCTTGCATATTCCTTTAACATGACATTGTAATGGAAATCATAGAGAAGTCTCTTAGCGTGTTCCAAAATGGTGAAACCCACGGCGACGGGTTGGTTCAATGTCACGCACACTTTCTCCATGCTCACTACAACCAAATGTTCTGAAAAAATATTTACACTTTTGAAATTTGATTTTGCCATAAACCTGTTTCTCCTTTCTTCGGTGGTGATTAATTCAATTTGGTTGTACTTTCTTACATTTTGTAACTGTTTTCCATACACAGCATTTGAGAGCAATTTGAACAAATCTTTCGAAAAGTCATCTCTCGCTTCTCGGCGTTTGAGTGTGTTAAATTCAATGTAAGCCTTCATCCATTTTGACTGAGTAAATTTCAAAACTTTGTGTACTCTTTTCAGTTTCAAACCTAATTGTAAATAATGCTGCAATGTACCGAAATAAATGATATAATTATGTTTGTCATTCAGTGTTGAAAATAGTTTGGTCCCCGTGGGTGGCTTTCTCTTATTCTCCTTTCCCAAGATACCTAACTCTGCGAGCAATTCTCGATGATAGGGTGACAAGTGTTCGAATGGAATGCTCTCTTTGGCAGGAGCGAGGGGCAAGGACTGATGGACGGAGTGAAGATGACGTGGGTATTCCAAATCACACTCTAAAATGTAACCCACATCACCTTCGGGGTCGAGTTGCATCCAGTGGATGGCATCTATTTCTGTTTCATGTAACCATTCAAACTCGCCTAGGGGTAAAGGACAACTCATGGCTGTTCCATACAGATTGTTAATATCATAATACATCAGGTGAGAATCGGGTTTGGATGGGTCAAAGTCGGACATGTGTTTGTTGTTTGCTTGGGCGTGGCGATGATTGATACTAGACACGCCTCCTCTCACCGCGTTGGAGACAAAATTGTACATGTCGGGATCGGTCATGAGATCTAGGGTCACCCCTGTCATCAACAGACACGCATCCATGGCCATGCCCGGGAGAGTAAAGTACTGACAGGGATCGAGCTTGTAATAGTTTAGACACATGTCACGAAATGCTTCGAACACATCGGTCAATATTAAAGTGTCAACGGCAACGTACAATTCCATGAATTCTCTCACCGATGTAATTTTGAAAGTCTCCCAAATATGACGAGCAAAGGCATACTCTTCTTCTGAAACTGTGTCTTCCGTTAAAGAAGAATAAAAGTCTTCACGACTCGGAAATTCTGTGTGGTTTAATTTCTCAAAACAGTCCACATATTCGTAAAAATAGGGCAATTTCCGTGTCAACAAATCCACGTGTTCAGAATAGTTCTTGGCCAAATAGATAAATTCTTCTCGACCTTTGCTTCTCAAATTGTTTGCCAATGTTTGCAAGCTGGTATCTAAAAATCTATAACTGTCCAAGAAGCGAAGTTGATCAATTTGAAACATGATGAAGTGCTCAGAATTTTGACCTATGCATGTCAATTTGCGATCGGCGAATAATTCCGCTGCTCGAAGAATTAAGTGATTGTCGTACCGAGAGGCATTGTGACAAATAACATTCACAAATGTAGATTCTTTGTAATTAACATTGCAATAATTGTGACACAGACCTCTGACTCGACCTGTTAAATGATCGTGATCTACATGTCTATCATCGTGTTGTACTTTTTCTCCACAAAGATAACAGCGCGTTTCCAATTCTAATGCCAACTTTTCAGGGGGCGTCAATATCATGGGAACTGGGTTGTTTAATATGTCCATGATGTGGTCATAATCTTCCAAGAGATGTGTCATGAAATGCTGGGCAGCTTGTTCACCGCTGTAGGTTCTTAACGGAAAGGAATATAGGTCGGGTTCTCTACACACAATTTGATAACTGTAGCCGCAGGGAATGTGCTCTTGAACACGTCGACTTCCCCTCGTTGTCTCGTTATGTTCTAAAGGAGCCAAGACGGACTCGAAATCTGCATAAATCACAAAGGGGACCTTCACTGTTTTACCGTACTGACCCAATCCAAATGTTCGAAAAGCTTTGTCTGGTTCGGGCATTTTAATTCGTTGGGCTTTGTGATAACAGTACGGGACATGCTTTACCAGAGTGTCTTCAGACCTGAACGTCCACAAACATTTACGACAAATGAATTTGCTGTTGTGGTCTCCAGGTTTTCTAACCAAAGCCGGCAAACTGGTGATCAGAACATAATGAGACAGTGGGGGTTCGTCTTCCTCTTCCACTTCTTGGGTTAAGAGAAGTAGGTCGATATGGCGATCTTTCGACACTTTGGAACTCTCCGAACTGACTCGTAAAGGAAAGACAAGGGGTTGCTGATTTTCATCTTCGTCACAACCATAGACATTGATACTTAACATATTTGCTTCTTCAAATTTTGTAATATGATTGAGACTCATGGGAAATGAACACCCTTTCAAGTCTAAGTCATGTATTTTATCCTTATAGTGTATCACCTGTTCTCTGACGAGATGGGATCTAACAGGAAACAGATGGGCCAAAACGCAATATACGAAACACATGTCATCTTCCACATTTTTAATGTTTAACAGACAGCGCTTTTTCTCTAACATAGGGGGAAGGGGGAGATACGAACTTCCGCGAAAAGGTTGAAATTTGACCACGGATAATTTAACGCTCAACACAGTCTCAAAATTTAAGTTTGAACTATCCCCTTCGTAGTTGTCCATCAGTTTCATTATTGTATTTATGGTTTCAGTGTACAACACATCCAAATCGTCAGCTTGTGTCGCTGGAGACATTTTTGTTCTAAAGTACGGATCAGTAAATGTAGTTAGACCATCCGCGTTGGTTTTGCTAAATCTAAATTGAGTACAAAGTCCCCACTTGATCGATTGTTTCGTTTCTAGTTCTGATTTCAAATGATGCATTATGTCAGGTTGAATTTTCACAAAATAATAGTAGGGATCCTTTCCTTCTTCGACCCCGGGAATAAAATCAAATTCCCTCACGTTACCATTCAACGCTTGTCTAGAGCATGACTGTTGAACGTCTTCATTTGTTTTCCTACGTTTAGCCGCCCCTTCGCCTCCTCGCTGTTGTGAACGAGGAGAAGAAAAGTGTTTCTGTCTAGTGTGTTTGGTGAGAGCATTCGCCGTGGGAAAGGTCTTTGTACAGACACGGCACGTAAATGATTGTCCAGGAGCTGTGTTGAGTGGTCCGTCCTTGTGTTGATTTTTTATATGTCTTTGTAATGCATCACTGCGCGAGAATGTCGTGGAACAGATTTCACAATCAAAATTTTTGTGAGACGGACCACAATTTCTCTGATGTCTAACGAGCGAACGTTTGTGACTATAGGTATTTTGACAAAACTCACAGGTGTATACCGGTGTAGTAGATGAGGTAGACATTTTTTTTTTAAATGAGGGTCTAGCAAACAATGTCCTTGGAACACTTATATTTTCTGAAATAAATAGCATTGTCTATTTTTCAAAGTGAGTGAGTGAGTGAGTGAGTTAAAATGTATCGTCACATCGGCAATATTTCAGCCATATCGTGACGAGAACAATTAATTGATACACATGGTAAGTAATAGTAAATTATAAAAGCCTGTCTACGAAGGACTGTAAAATTACTAGATTATCACAGAGAATAATTTAACAACTAGTAATTAAATCTAAATCGGTTTAACCAAAGTTGGCAATACAATATAAAACCGGGCTATAGATTGCTAACAACTGAAGGTAGATCACCATACTAGGGACCATGGGGGCTTACAGTACGTTTGCTTCTAGTTTTCAAAGTCGGTACAGACAGCAAAATGATTCAGTAAAGTTAAAAACAATGAGAGAGAGAATATGCATATCTGTACAATAGTTACCATGTTTTTTTAAAAAAAGAATACGGTATTTTCATTTGTTAATGATTCTGTTGATACGATTGCTCAATCCTCTCCGCAATCTCATCATGTTGCGATCTTCTGAAAGCTTCTATTACGTCATATAACTTGTTATGTCTTATGACAGTGCACATCAAATCTCGATTGCATTCAATCCTACCATATTGTTTCAAGGCAGCTCTTTGGTCGGTATAACCGGGGAACGTAATCATCCCTTTTTCAAATATAGCGTCGAGAAAGGCTGAGGTTTCTAAATTATGCGTGATATAAGTCCAATTGACTTGAATTGCATTAAGTTCTATTGGAATCATTATTTAGTTATTTATTATCGGCTTCACGCTTACGATAAAAAAAAACACGTCTAGCAAACAATGCAGATGAATGGGTGAATATTCTGAAATGTAGTGGAAAGAAATTGTTAAAAAAATGTTTGTGACTGCACATGAATGTGACACTTATCGGTGGAAAGTAATACTTATGTTGTTCTTAAATGTTTTACAATTATATTATTTCATTATAACTTGTCAATGATATTTTTACAATTTAAAAAAACAGAATTATTCTTACCTTTCACACAAGAAAGAATGTCTATCTAAACTTGAAAATCCTGGACGGCAACTTCTGGTATGGTGAGAAAAAGAGGTGAATGGCACTGATATAACCAATGTTCACTCTTGAACCTCGAGAGACCGGTCTGAGACCGAGAACGCAACTCCCTTCCTTTTTATAGTGGTATAAAGACACGAAGACGTGTCACGGGAAGCATTCGAAGTCTGTCACTACAAGGTGGCGTGTACTCGAGTACTCAGTCCCCTCGAAGAACTCGCACAATGTCCCACCTTTTTTTGGTTACAGCTACGTCCATACAACATAGATTTCTTCCGTTCCGAACGTTCATACATCGTTTCAGTTCTTCACTAGCAACACATTGCGCGAAAACATTCACAATGTCAATCATTCCAAAGACTACAGCCGTATGTAAGGGCGTGTTTCCGTACACGTTTACAGCCTCTATATCGGCTCCCTTCCTCAACAGTTCTCTCACAAGCCAGTATCTTCGTTTCTGGATTGCCAAGTGCAGAGCCGTCCGTTTCTCGTGTCCCGTCCGATAATTCAAAATATCGGAATCTTGTGGTATTTTCGATAGGATGTCCCGCGTATAACCACTATAGTCCCCTACGATGCTTAAATGCAACTGTGAGATGCGGTGGTCCATATCGATGACAATTAAATAGAATAAAACAGAAAGACAAAACTACTTTTTATCATTTAACAATCACTGTCGCTATGAGTCGAGTCTAGGATACCCTACTTTTATATTTGACTCCACTGTTGATACAAAGTCAGCACAGGACGAGCCACTGTCGATCCACAAACAATATCCATTCGTCTTACCGTTGACATTACGTCAGTATCGGCTGTCATTATGTCACAAGGCGAGCCACTGTTGGTCTAACAACAATGCTCATCCGTCTCAGTGTTGATATCGGGACAATAACCGTTCGAC